TTTCTCCCAAAATGTTTTTGCCTTTAATCTTTAAGTATTTCTTTTTAATTTGGGGGGTTGGGGGAGGTATCTAAATTAGGGTGAAAAGACACCATGACCCTGACAACTCCCATAAAGGAAACACTTAATTGGGGTGGCTCGCTTACAGTTGCAGAGGTTCAGTCCATTATCATCAGGATGGGAAGCATGGCAGCATGCAGGCAGACATGGTGCTGGAATAGCAGCTGAGTCCTATATCCTGCAGGCAACAAGTCACTGGGTGGTATCCTGAGCAAAGGAACCCTCAATGCCCGCCCCTCCGTGACACTTGCTCCAACAATGCCCCACCCACTCTAACAAAGCCACACCTCCTAATAGTGCCACTCCCTGAGATTATGGGGGCCAAGTACATTCAAACTACCTCGGGGGGTATATGGGTATTATGCATAGGTGTCTTCCTCAGGTGCTTCCCACTTCGTTTTTTAAAACTTTTAAAGAACCTGCCATGTGTGTAAATGTGAGGCCACCTGCTCCTGCCATGAGCAAGACTCACCCTCCAGAGCTGAAGAAATTTACAGACAAGTTAAATGGTGGCAGATGAGTACAGGGAATGCCACTGTTACAGTAAGCCCCTCATGTGTCGTGAGGAAGAAGAGAGACAACACTTACGAGTTCCAAAGATTTTATTAAATCACCACATAAGCAGGGTCATTGGTAAATCAGGGCTGCAGGACAAGGACCTGGGGTCTTGTTTTTCCTGACAGTCCCAAGCAGGGGCAAAAGCAGGTTTATAAGTACAAAAATCACAATTTTCACCAATCAAAAAGTTAAAGATTAGGGACTTTCCCTGTGTGGTCCATCATTGCCAACTGACATACAATGCAAACCTTTCAGTCCCATCCATCAGACTGATTTGTTCTTTGACTATGACATAGCATCAGGTCATGTACATTTTCATATGAAGCCTTGCTAGATAAACTTTTGATACTCAAAAATATTTTTAACCTTTATTCTTTACGTGTAACCTTTATTTTTTATGTTTTATATGTTTAAATGTTGTACAGCATGGACAGGCAGTGATTGAGGAGGCCAGAGGGCATTGAATCCTCTGGGACTGGAGTTACAGTGTGAGCTGCCACATGGATTCTGGGAAGGAAACATGGGTCCTCTCCACTGAACCACCTCTCCAGACCTCCACTTCATTTCTGAAAGGATCTCTTACTACACCTGGAGCTAATCTAGGCTGGCTCCACCAAGCTCCTGCGATAAGCCTGTCACCTTCCTGGCACTCGGATTACAGCAAACACTGCCCTGGATTTTTATCTAGGTGCTGGGGCTTGAACTCAGGTTCTCATGCTACAGGGCAAGCACTTTACTGAATGAGCAATATACCAAGCCCTAGCTTCGATTTTTATAAAAATACATACACCTATAAAGAAGTCTGTGGGTTTGTTGTGCAGGACATCCCGTGTAAAGAATTTCTGTGACTTCTCCTCTGCTGTTCAGTCATGGCTTTGTGCTGCTTCCTCATCAGCAAGGCTGAGAATAAGTGTTAAGTATCCACATGCATGTGCATAATTCCTTCTCCCAGTCCCCTGTACAGGGAGTGCTATCTGAGGTATTATTCTTATTTCTCTGATTAAAGAGCTGACAAGAAGCAGTATTATGGCTTGTTTGGTCTCAGAGTTTGAAGGTGCAGTCTATCATGTGGAAGAACGCAGGGTGGTAAGTACAGGTTCAGCTGTGATGGGAAGCAGATAAAAATGAGTCATGGTATTCAGCTCACTTCCTTTTCATTCTGCTGGAACTCCAGCCCATGGGATTGTTATCATCCACATTCACGGTGGGATTTCTTAAAGTGTAAAATAATTGCTCTTATCAATAAAAACCAGGAGTTAGATATCAAGGTAAACCTTGAAGGATCAGAGAGGCAGAGGAGGAGCCATGTATGCTGTAAAGATTTGGCACTCGAATTGGTTTACTAAAAAGCTCATTGGCCAGTAGCCAGACAGGAAGTATTGGCAGGGTGACCAACCTAAGGATGATGGGAAGAAGGGCAGAGTCAGAAGCCACCAGCCAGATGCAGAGAGAGATGAATGTGCCATGCTAATAAAGGTCCCACCATGTGACAGAGTGTAAGTAAGGAATATGAGCTAACTTAAAATGTACAAGCTAGTTAGCAATAAGTCTGAGCTATTGGCTGAGCATTTATAATTTATATTAAGCCTCTGAGTGATTATTTGAGAGTAGCTATGGGACAGAAAAATTCCATTTACATTTCTCTCTTACTTAAGCTTCCCTGGAAATGCCTCTGAGGACATGCCCAAGATGTTTCTCCTAGATTCCAAAGCCAGTCAATTTTACAAGAATATGTAAACATATATACTGTTTAGTTTAAGCTGAGCTACATAGTAAAACTAGCTCCTTAGCCTTCCCCTAAGTTTTTGTTTTCATTGTATATTTATTGGTTATTTAATCTCCAACTGTCCTAAATCTCCTTCACCATCACCCTCTTTCCAAAGTTTCTGACCTCTAATGTGGATTGATCACCCTCTGTGAAGCACTGTGCAGATTCTTACAGAGCCAACCACAGGTTACAGGTGTACAAGACCCAATAACAAGACAATGGCGTTGAGTGCCTTTCTAGAGTCTTTAGTGGGCTCTAGAGTCTTCAGGAAAAAACAAAGCAAAACAAAACAAAAAAAAAATCAGCAACCACTTCTATAGCAACAAGCTTTATATTTCTAGCTCTGTTCTGAGCTTGCTTGAAGCCTTCCTGTTAGGTGACAGCACTCCTCTGTGCCTGTCACGGGTGACAGGACTATCTAGTCTGGCCAAAGTGCTTGGTCTCCATGTTCTGAAGACAGCAGAAATGCCCTAAAGCTCCTTTTACTATTTCTCAGGTCTTAAATCACGGAATCAAGTGGAGGGTTTGTTCAATCTTGCTCCATCTGCCTTAAGCTGATTCTGGATTTGGGAGGCAAAGATGAGGATGAATACTGTTAGACTGGGCAAGGAACTGGAGGAGTATGTATGCACATTCGACCACGCCCACTTAGGAACTTGGCCACAGGTCCTCTGTAGAAGAGAAACCTAACAACCTAGGCTGACCAAGAAATGGCGGTGGACAGAGAGCAGGCACCCTTGTGCAGATTTGACCCTAGAGTCTGAGGAGACAGCTTGGATTCCTGGGTATTTCTGAGGGAAGGAACTCAGAGATAGTGCTGCTCAGACTATGAGAACTGAGTTTGCATCTGCGGTCATGTTCCTAAGAAATGTAATCCTCTAAAAACAAGAATGCCCCCTGGAGGGCAACATTATTTTGTAAAACTTCTCCCTGTGAGCTCTCTGACCAGCTGCCCTTGGCAAGTGTTTTGTGACCACCTGGAGACAGCTATAAGCAACCAAACTACATAGGCTGAAATCACCTAACTCCTAGCAAGCAAAGATGCAGGTCACAATAATGATTCAGAGTGGTCTAATTTCATAGATAGAACAATCATTTGAGACACAAACATGGTTTGACATGCCTGAAATCCCAGTATTTGGGAGGCCAGGGGGATGATTGTTGTTGACTTTGAGACCAGCACTTCTACTCTACCACGTCTGGTTTCACATTAAAATTCTGTCCTCTTTGCCCAAACCCTCACTCCAAACTGCAGGCCTGGTGATCACTGCAAAACTAGGCTGTGCAAAGCTCTGAAAGGGACAGACAGCAGGCAAGCAGTTCTAGAGCAAATCACAATATGACAGAAGCAGCAGCAGAATACGGTTAGGGCAAGTATGTTGTGGTGGGAAGGGGGCAGGGCAGTCTGATCACCCTAGGAATGAGGCCTGAAGTGGGGACTCTGGCTTTTGCTGAGTACAAGGCACAGATGGAGCTATGCACAGCAGGGAAGCCATCTTGTGCTCTGGGAGCAGAAGAGTCTGCAGGTGGTACAAAGTACTGCCCACAAGATGGAGGCTACAAAAGACCTTTGCAAGAAGCAGGGAGACCTCAGCTCTGAGAATTGTTCCCTAGTCCTGTTTCCATGAACCCTCAGGTGCTAGATCTGAACGCTCTTGGAGGACATCTGAACATCTGTTGGGCCCAAGGAATCATTATTTCCATCCTGCCTAAGTTGCCTTGCAAAGGAATTCTATTGTGAATGGGAACCCACAAGACACAGTATCTTGGAGCTGAAAGGGGTTTAAGAGTATTGATGTTCTCATTTTATAGGTGATTGAGCACCCTTCCCCAGCATCTTCTGATATCTTAAGGATACAAGCACAAGTTCAGGCTGCATGACGTGACTGCTCATGGGGCACTGGGGGCAGGACGTGCCTTCATAACATCTCAGGGAGTCTTCTGAGGTAGCCACTGGCCATGCTGCCGCTCCCACTGCAGGGGGTGGGAAGTGTCTGCTGAATGTACAGCATATTCTTTCCTTGACTTTGGGACTTAGCTGTGATTCCCAGTTATAAGGGGAAGAGAGCTTTCTGTATTCTGTCCAGGCACTGGATTAAGACCAAAGTGGGAATCATTTATCAACACTTCTTTTCCAAAAATTGTCCTGTGTTGTAAATATTGTTTCATATTTATATTGTGAGATGATGGGTGGTCTGAGGCTTCAATTTCACAGACAAATGAGTAAGTGAAGGGAGACCTGCTGGAGAAGGCTGGGAGCCTTGTTGGGAGACTCTGGTGATGCAGATTTCACACAAGCCCATATGAGCAAGAGCAGACCTTATGCACCATGATATGATTTCATTTTCTGAGATCCACATCCCTCCACACAGCAGGCCAGAGCTGCCCAGCTCCCTGCTCTTCTCCAGATGGGGAGGAAATGACCTTGAGCTGCTAGTCCATTAGGAGTCAATCAGTAGGTTTATTTTCTGAAAGTGTAAGAACACACACAACAGGGACTCCTCCTCGGCTAGAACCCAGAGGCCTGGCCTCGACGGAGAAAGGGAGGGCAGATTCCCAACCACAGCCGCTCCAGCCACCACTGCCCACACCCCAGAGTACTCAGCTACACACAGACAAAGAGAAAGCTTTATTAAATCACTCATTAAAGAATAAATTAGGCTTCTTTAGGCTTATAAAAAAGTATTCCTAGGCTCTGAGGAAAGTAGTCTTATGTCAGTCCCAAGGCACTTTTCTCCCCAGGAGTTGGTTGGTCACTTTCTGTGGAAGAAAACACAGGATTTGAAGTCAGACGCAGTCACTAGGTGGCTGGCCACCCTCACCTCGGCACACTGCTGAGGAGACTCTCCTACATCTTGTGTATGTTACTCACTTACAGACATAATGGCAATTAGGAAAAATGTGTTCCTTATTAAAGTGTTTTGGAAAGATGGTCAATAAGCATACCTTCTCTATAGAAACAGATGCTAGAATGGTGGTGGACTGACCAGCAGTTGACAACACCCAGCACAGCAAGGGCCCATGTGATGCTAACACAGCGGGAAGGCCATGCAGCTCCTGGGGTCTCCCCAGTGCCCAGGCTCCTGGGTGCTCCAGACACGGTTCGCAAGTCTCACACTAGTCTGGTCTGGTCTTTAGCTTCTGCCTTTGAGAGCCCTCTACATAGTGAGAAGCCTGGGAGAAAAACAGAGCTGTGGAGAATATGATCCTTCAAGCAGTGGCCAGTGTGGTGTCTAAGGAAACTAACTGGTACCCTGCCCTCGGAGGCTCTTGGCAGGCTCCATTCTCTAGCCTCTCACTCCCTGCCGACTCATAGACATTGTTATTTACATAGTTGCAGCTCAGCCAAAATTGCCTGTGTGAAGTCTGGTTTAGCTGCGAACACATGAAAAGTGCTGAATCACAGCCGCCTAAAGTTTGAAGTCTCAGCACTCAGTCGCTGTATTCAAGTGTTAGGCAGGCTGTCTGTATTTCCCTCCGCTGATAAGCCTGATCCGTCCCTTCATGGATAGAGCATCAACCCAGCTAACCGTTTTATAGTGCTGAGCTCGCAGTCGGTAGGATTTATATTCTGATTTCCTCTTCTCCTCTTCTCTCTTCTTCTTCACTTCTGGAAGCTGCTCATAAATCCTAAGAAATGGCATTCATGAAAAGACAGAAAGCAGTGAAGTTATCTGGCATGAAGATACATGATGGCTCTCCCACACCTCTGGTTCTATGCTGTCTAGGCATCCAGCCTGTGGACAGAGCCAGCCCCTGATAAGCATCCATGTCCATGGATGTGGAGAGTCTGGTCCTGGGGTGCCCACAATCTGGAAGCGAGATCAATGGAAATATAAAATATTCATAATACTGCTTATTTCTTCAAGAGGAATAGAGGGAATAGGTAAAATTATGTCTTCTATGCTATCTGCAAAACTATAGTTTCCATATAACAAAAAGATATAACTAAGTATATACAGATGTACACAGACACACAGATCAGCTGAGGTGTCCCAGACTAGTCTGGAACTCAGTCTAGCCTTAGTTTACTAAATGCTGGGATTACATAGATATGCAACACCATATCCAGCTTATTATTGTATCTTTAAAAAACTTTTTGGTTAACATACAAAGAAATGTCACATGTGTATCATTGCTTTCCTTATTTGCCCTCCTCGTCCTCTGTACTCCTCTTGCTGGTCCCCTTCTTTCCAAAATAGTTACCCCTTTCTGTTTTCATAACACACACACTCCTTAGCCTCTTGTAGTCTCCCCATTCTTCAAGTATGCCTTTCTACTTTATGTTCAACATATGAAGAAAATATCGCATTTGTCTGAGTATAGCTTATTTTGCTTAACACAATGATTTCCAGCTTTACCCACTTTCCTGGAAATATACTATCAGTCTTTACAGCTGGAAAAAAAAAAACAGTGTATATATGCACCACATTTTCTTTACCGACTCATCTGCTGATGAATCCTGAAGCTGATTCCATTTGCTGGCTACTGTGAACACTGCTGCAGTATGCATGGAGATGCAATTATTTCTGTGATATGTTGACATAGAGCCCTTCAGGGATACATCCAGAAGTGGTATAGCTAGGTCATATGATAGTTTTATTCTGAGTCTACAATGGCTGTAGTGGTTTACACTCCCTCTCACAGTACACTTCCTTTCCCCACGCCCTCACCAGCATCTGCTGTCATTTGTTTCCTTGATGCTAGCTAGTCTGCATCATTCTGACTGAAGACGAAATCTCACGCAGGATCTTGATTTGCATTTTGCTGACGGCTAAAGTTGTTGAACACATTTTCAAATATTTATTGGCCATTTGAATTTTCTGTTGTGAATTGTCTATTTAGTTCATTAGCCTATTTAATGGTTTGATGATTCTTTTAACATACTTAATCTTTTGAGAGTTCTCCTTAGATTTAAGGTAATAATCCTCTGTTGCATGGTATTATGAAAAGTCACTCTTGTCTCATATGTTTGATCACTGGGTCCCCAGCTGGTGGCACTGTCTAGAAAGATTCTGGAACCTCACTGGAAGAAGTGGATCATCAAAAGGGATGGGCCTTGAGCTCGGACCTACTTCCTGAGGGGTGCAATGTGATGGGTCACCCAGCCTCCTGCTCTTGTCACCATGGCTTCCCTGCTGCTGCCACTAAGATGGCCCTTATCCCCCTGGAACTACAGACTAAAACAAACCTTTTGTCCCTTACAGCAACAAGAAAACAACCAAGGCAGATCTGTAACTAGCAAAAGTTCTCTCCCACTCTGTAGCCATCCCTCCACTCTGCTGATGTTTCTTTCTTTGCTATGAGAACAGAAACTTTAATTTCATGAAACTTCAGTTTTAATTCTTAGGATTATTTTCTGTGCTTTTCAGAAAGTCTTCACAAATCCCTGTTATCTTGATGTTATCTAGCAGTTTCAGTTACTATTGTATTTAAAACACAGGAAACTAGAAAGTACTAGAACAGCTGTACCTGTAAAATAAACAGTTAATGGAGAAGGGACACTTTCTCTGTGGAAAGGGCCACACAGGCTTCAGGAGCCTAGGCTTACATTAGAAATGAAGAATCATTAGGAACAGAGACAGAGAAGGGAGCAAAGTAGCCACGCTGGGGATTGTGCACTGGTAGACATGGAGCTACAGGGTTGTGGTACAGGGAAATAGGCAGGGAGAGGCTGAGGTAGGCTGCAGTCGTGTGAAACTTAGACTTCATCCTACACAGATAGTGTTCAGTGCCCCTAACTTCAAGCTGAGGGGAGCTATAAAACAAGACAAGTGTGTGTAGGATGGAGGGAAGAATTCTGAGTTAATTGTTACTTTCTTTTTTCTACTTCTAAAAATATTTGTGGATCCCAACTGGGACAAACTGAGGCCCTTGTCACTGGAAACAGAGCTAGGTCCGATTAAAACAGGCCTGGCAGAAACCAGAGAAGCAAATCGCTTAGTAGGTGGGAGAAAGTCAAGGGGTCGGGTCAGTATGAAATTGCCAAGTCACAGTGCGTGAGAAGCACCAGCCCAATTGCAGAGGGGTAGTTCGGCAGGCATGGACTCTAGCCCCACATTGGGTACCAATCTTTTGCAGATTATAATAAAACAGTACCACATTTTCCAAAGATTATTACAAGTCAAAAAACAAAAGTCATTGGAAAGAAGCAGTACCAAGAGTAGTGGCAAACATCTTTAACCCCAGCTTTCGGGAAACACAGGCAGGATCTCTGTGAGTTCCAAACCAACCAGATCTACAGAGTAAGCTCCAGGCCAGACATGAAAACAAACTAACATCAATAAAAACAAACAACTCATCCTGTCAGCAGCTCCACCAACTACTTGACTGCTCATCAGCTTCTGATGAGCCCCTAGAAACAAACTCTGAAACTTAGTTTTTGAATGGCATTCTCATGATCAATATATGTGTACACCAAACTGATTAACTCATGAGTAGACCATGCTTGCAATGGCACAATATTAAAAAAGTTTCTGAAAAACTGGTCTGAAGAAATGGCTCAGTGGTTAAGAGCACTGGCTGCTGGAATTGGCATAAAAGCAAACAGGAGAACCAATGGAACCAAATCAGAGACCTAAATATCAATCCACACACCTACACACACCTGATTTTTGACAAAGAAGCAAAAAATATCAAATGAAAAAAGAAAACATATTCAACAAATGATGCTGGCATAACTGGATATCAACATGTAGAGAAATGAAAATAGATCCATATATAAAACTCAAGTCCAAATGGATCAAGGGCCTAAACATAAGACCAACCACACTGAACCTCACAGAAGAGAAAGTGGGAAGTACACTTGAATGCACTGGAACAGGGAACCACTTCCTAAATAGAACCCCAGCAGCACAGATACTGAGTAAACAATAAATGGGACCTCCTGAAACTGAAAAGCTTCTGTAAAGCAAAGGACACGATCAACAAGACAAAACGACAGCATACAGAATGGGAAACGATCTTCACTAATCCCACATAAGACAGAGGTCTGATCTCCAAAATAGGCAAAAAACTCAAGAAATTGGTCACCAAAAGAGCACATAATCCAATTTAAAAAAAAAAAAAGAGTATAGACCTAAACAGAAAACTCTCAACAGAGGAATCTAAAATGGCTGAAAGACACTTAAGGAAATGTTCAACATCCTTAGTCATCACAGAAATGCAAATCAAAGCAACTCTGAGATTCCATTTTACACCTTTAACAATGGCCAAGATTAAATACACTGATGACAACTTATGTTGGAGAGGTTGTGAGGTAAAGGTAACACTCCTGCATTGCTGGTGGGAGTGCAAACTGGTACAGCTGCTCTGGATATTAGTATGATGATTTCTCAGAAAATTAGTAAAAAAACAAACAAACAAAAAAAAACTATCTCAAGATCCACCAATACCACTTTTAGGTATACACCCAAAGGATGCTAAATCATACCACAAGGACATGTGTTCAACTATGTTACAGCAGCATTATTTGTCATAGCCAGGACCTGGAAACAACCTAAATGCCCCTCAACCAAAGACTGGATAAGGAAAATGTGGTACATTTATACAATGGAGCACTACACAGCAGGAAAAAATACTGACATCTTGAAATTTGCAAATGGATAGATCTAGAAAACATCATATTGAGTGAGGTAACCCAGATCCAGAAAGACAAATATAATATATAATCACCATAAGTGACTTTTAGACAAAAAGCAAAGAAAAACCAGCCTACAATTCACAATCCCAGAGAACCTAGACAACAAAGAGGACCCAAAGAGAGACACACATGGATCTTATCTACATGGGAAGTAGAAAAAGACAAGATCTCCTGAGTAAACTGGGAGTGTGGAGATCATGAGAGTGAGTAGAAGCGAGGAGGGGAGAAGTAGGGAGGGGAGCAGACAAAAATATATAGCTCAATAAAAACAATTAAAAAAAAAAGAGCACTGGCTGCTCTTGCAGAGGACCCAGTTCAATTCCTAGCACCCATGTGGCAGCTCACAAATGTCTTTAACTCTAGCTCAAGGAAATCCAACACCCTCTTTTGGCCTCTGGGGACACTGCATGCATGTGGATTTGCACACTTATATACATATGGGAAAAACATTCATATACACAAAATAAAATAAACCTTAAAAACAACAAAAATCTGGTCTCTCAAATCCCTATACCCGGAATCCACTCAGTTTTTGTTTCCCAAAGGGAACCACTATTACCAAGTCTTTTGCAACTTACAGAAATATTTGATGCATGTATGTACAGGTCTACACAGCTATAAAAGCAAACGCATTTCTATTTCCAATGCAGTAATGGGCTGAAACTGAACATGCTTCTGAAACTCATGTTCTTAACTTAATGTCAATTTCATTATTTCTTACTGTGTTGGGAAAACTCCTAGAAATGAGATTGTTAAGATAAAGAATGTGGTCCAAAATAAAATTTATTTTTATTTCAAAATATTTTTTTAGTTTCATCCAGATTTCTAATCAAGACAAGCTCATCCCCAGCATTCCCCTTCTCCCTCTGCACAGGAACCGCTTACACCCTATCTTCTAGTTCTCTCTTCCTTTCTTGTGCTCTGAGAAGCACCTCACCACTAACCTTCTCACATGCTTCCAACTGGGCAAGCTCTGCGGGCTGGGAAGCAGAGCGATCACCCGGTAACCTGGAGTATAGCTGCATAATTACTGTCATCCTTTCAGACTTACCGTTTGGTCCTCTGGATCATTTCCTTCTTTCCAATAGGCTTGTTCTTCTGGGCAGTCAGGAGGGCTAGGCAAGGGAAGAGGTTTATTAGTAGACAGTGGCCGTAAGGAAAGGTGTGGCGCTGTAGAGCTGTGCAGAGGAGCTGTTGGGCCCTAACCTAGTGGGAGGCGCAGGGCAGTGAGTAAAAGACCAGGGGCAGCAGGGGCAAGGCCACAGCCTGAACTGCAGTAGGGGCACTGTGACCAGAGTCTATACCCACTGGCAGGTCACAGTGTGAACAGGCTGACAAGTAAGGCTGACAGCTTTAGGTGGTTATTTTACATTTTCACTGCTTTCTTGTGTTATTTTATTGAGACTTGCCACTTGGTGTAACTGCTAAGAGCACAGATCTTGTCTGTGAACCCCAGCTCCTTCACTAAGAAGAATGTTACCTTGGGTGAGCTATTTAGTCTCCCAGGGAAGTAAGAGTACAAAGACAGCACTGTTCTCAGACAGGTGTTGTGAGAACGGTGCTGGGCAGACCTCCTAGGTCTGTGTTTACCATTACCGTCTTCATAGTACACTCTGAGACCAGGAACACAAGGCTAGCTCACAAAAGAATCATCCCTACGTGACAAGGCTAGCAGAACTGGGGTTACTGGGGTCACAGATGAGTGGAAAGCTAGGTTGGGCCAGTCTACTAGCTAAGGAGACTCGAGTCTCAGCAAGCAAAGCTCCTAGACAGGACAGGTGACAAGAGGCAGACCTCTCCTAGGCAGGGGCCGCACGGCATTGAACAGAACCTCCCGCTCACTCTGGAACAAGCTCTGTAGCTTCCTCTCCTGGACTAGTAGCTTCAGGCGCTTTATCCGCTCCCCAGAGCGGGAGATGAAATCAGGTCTGTGAAGCTGAAGAGATTCCTAAAGGAGAAAAACCTCCCGTTAATGACATGGCCTTTGCTCAAGTGCCCAGAGAAATGGCACCTGCCCCACAGAGTTGAGAGTCTGCAGGGGAGGGCAGCCCCAGGGACAACAAAGGAAGCACAGAAATGCCTTTGGAAAAAGCTGAGAACTAAGGTGGGGTCACCTGCAACTCTTCTAAATGTTGATGACAGAGGTCAGTTCACTCTCTTCAGACAAATTCACCATTAAATATCATTTCCTTAAGCAACGAAGGGACTGGCAAGGCGTGGGGAATAGCTCAGGGTGAGCACTTGATTAACACTGTGAGGCCCTAGAACAATGATGGAGGAGGGTTATCTGTCTATTGTGTTATTTTCATTGGTCAATAAAGAGACTGCCTTGGCCCTTTGATAGGACAGAAAATTAGATAGGCGGAGTAAACAGAATAGAATGCTGGGAAGAGGGCAATGAGCCAGACGCCATGGAGCCAGCCACCAGGTCAGACATGTTGAATCTCTCCCGGTAAGCCACGACCTCGTGATGTTACACAGATGGTTAGAAAGGGGTTAATCAAGATGTGAGAGTTAGCCAGTAACTAACTCTCTAGAGATAATGGGCCAATACAACTTATGTGTTATTATTTCTGGGGCTAAGCTAGCCGTGCAGGAGCTGGGCAGGATGAAAAACAGGCCTGCCCGCAGCTCCTCACTACAGAACAATGCAGCCTGACAAACACCAGGCCTGCTGTTGCACATGTGGGAGCCCGCACAGAGCAAGCAGTGCCAGAGCACCCTCCTCCTCTGTGTTGTCAGGAATGGTGGAATGACCGAAGCCCAGCAAGCCAGTCACACATGGTCCCACAGACCATATGGCTGAAGTCGACCTGACGTCACTGGACCTACCTGCAGGGTTGCTCTCACAAATGGCCTAAAAGCAGCCCGGCCACCATCTCCACCTGGGCCTCCCAGGGACCCACGACTGTTCACGCACTGCTCCTGCCGGTTTTGTTCCCTCAGGGGCTCTCTCCAGGGCTTGGTTTTGGTTACTGGTTCAAACCAGGAGATACCAGGGCCATAAATCTTGGGCAGGTTTTCCTTCTTAGATCCAGACTTTCTATTTTCCACAGGAACAAACCATGAGACACCTACAGGAAATATTTTCAAGTAGAAACTGAAAAGCTTTATTTTTTAATAACTGTACCCAACTACAAAGACATATCTGTAACACTGACTTGCAAAGGACTCATCTGCTAGGGGTGACAACCCCTAGGGTGCCCTTGAGTTGGTCTTAACCACAGCAGGACTTTCTAAATGAAACTCTGGTTACTTTCAAAACATGCCAGTGTGGTGGCTACTGGCAAGTGGCGTCAACACAGAGTTCTCAGAAGCAAGGGATCTCAGTGTTGCAAGTGACTTAGACACACCTTTGTGAGAGTCCCTGCTACCTGGAGTTAGAAACTGACCTTCAAAATATAAACAAACCAACCTTCACAGAAATTTGGCTTGTTCTTCCTTAAGTTTTTGTCCCGCAGATAACTGGTAAGGAACTTTTTCTCTTTGGCTTTTTCTTCTGACCAAGAAGTCACATCACTGTCCTCTTCCAATCTGGGTTCACTAGGACTGGGAGTTGGGAAAATCACCCCAACATCACGAGTGTATTTTTTGACACCGGTCACAATCTCCAAGTTACCTGAGGGGAAAGACAGATGTATCTGGGAGCAGATTAGAAGCCTGGCTGGCAGGCTTAAAGTCAGGGGTGAGCTCCTATTAATAACTCAAAGACATGCTGCATGGTGTGGGGAAGGGGGTGGGGGGAAAGAGGGTAAAAAGGCAGACACAGGTTTAATTTCTAAGTGGGTTTAGCTACCACAGAACAAGAAATATAAATTCAGTTGGTTCAGACTTTCAACTCCAAGGGAGCAAAAACGTAAGCACTTCTGGACCTGCTGCCAATCACCTAGCAAGGATGAGGAACCTGCATAAGACCAAACTAGGCCCTCTGGATGTGGGTGACAGTTGTGTGGCTTGGGCAGTTTGTGGGGTCACTAGCAGTGGGACCAGTATTTATCTCTAGTGCATGAACTGGCCCTTTGGAGCCCATTCCCTATGGGGCCATACCTTGTTCAGCCTAGATACAGGGGGGAAGGGCTTGGTCCTGCCTCAAGTGATGTGACAGACTTTGTTGATTCCCCGTGGGAGAGGAGGTTGGAGCGGGGAAGAAAATGGGGGAAGCAGGAGAACAGGAGGGAGAGGAACTTGGATTGGTATGTAAAATAAGATTGTTATACGCAGCTAAACACTCTTCAAGCATAAGCTTCAGATTCTCCTGGCCCCCTCTCATCACTTTGTTTACAAATCAGGACCCCAGGACTTGACTCACTTAGATCATTCTCTTCCTCCTTTGTTTTACAAAATGCACATAGCAGCAAACTGTACATGCTCTGTACCTTGATTTTTCTTTTAAAATATATATGCTGGGGACCTCTGTGTGTGTTGGGAACTGAACCCAGGCCTCTATAAGGGCAACCAGTGCTCTTAACCATTACTCCAGCCCAAAGAGAGCTTCCTCGTTCTATGCAAACGTACAATAATTAATTTCACCACTGTTATTGATGGCTATCAAAGTTGATTTTAATTTTCTGCTAAAATAACCCTACTGTTTACACTTAGCAATTTGCACATATTTAGGAATATTTATTGGCTAATTCCAAAACAAACAAACAAATGCTGGGTCAAAGTAAATTTAATACGAGCTCCCAAACTGCTCTTCACAGAGGCTGTAGTATTTGAACCCTGCTACAAGGGCACTTATTTCCCTACACTCTTGCTTATAAACTTGGATTTTCTGCAATTAATAAGCAAAAACAGTATCTAAATATGCAGGTACTTTTAATCTTTACACTCTTTATCATGAGGGAGGTTAAATAAGTGTGTTGAAGAAGCATCTTTATATCAATGCAAAATTTAAATTCAAAGGCTTTACCAGCTTGTACACCCTTGTTCAACATATGCACACTTTCTTCATCGTAAAGAGTAGAAGTCAAGCTCAAGAAACTACCAGCAGATGAACCGGAGTCAGAGGAAATCTGATTTGCCACCTAGAAAAACAAAAGACTCTGTTAAGAGTGATCAGTAGCCAGAGGAATGGTTAGCTACAGGGCAAGGACACAGCTGAAAGATGCTTGGGAACGTGTGTGTGTGTGTGTGATGTGAAGAATGCTGCTTGAAGGACAGGCCCAAGCTATGGCAATACAAAGAGAGCTGGGAATTTCTCTGGGATTCGAGAAAACTGAAGAAGCTGGTAGCTAAACCTTAGCCTGACACACCTACAGAGTAAAATTCTCAGCTCACACCTATAGATAATTCTGGAGCTAAAAGAGATGCTAACTAAAGTGATTAAGTCCACAGAGGACCCCTCAATCAGAGCAGATACACTTTTTATCTGACGGACAGACACCAAAGAGCTGCATTGCACTTTAAGAAATCCCAAATGAGTCAAGCATAAAACACACGAAAGCCCCAAGGCCCCTCTTAACACTATTCAGAGCAAGTAGAGTGCCAAAGTCAAGTGTAGGGATGAAAGCTGACACTGGTGGGTGAAAAAAAACTTCATAAACTGTTTTTGTTTGGTTGGGTTGGGTTTGTTGTTGTTGTTGTTGTTTGTTTTTTGAACAGGGTTTCTCTGTACCTTTGGAGCCTATCTTGGAACTCACTCTGTAGACCAGGCTGGCCTCAAACTCACAGAGATCCAACTGTCTCTGTCTGCCGACTGCTGGGATTAAAAGCATGCGCCACCGCCACTTGTCAAAAAACTGTTTCTTAAAAACAAACAAACAAAAAAGCTGTCTGTATCCAAGCACACAAACACAGAAGAGGGCAACAGCAGCCTCCTCCATTGCTCTCAATCTGGACTTTGGGCTTACATTTCACAGCTAGACTGGGACGCTAGGAAGCCCCAGCAATCCTGCCTCTGCTTCCCTTCCCTCAGATCTGGAATTATAGGCATATAAATGATGATCAGCTTTTGGGTAGGTGCGGGCACCTGAATACTGGTTGGCAAGGTGATACAGCAGGTGCTCTCCCCACTGAGATACCTACCTCTCAAGCTGGATGGAGTGTTTAAGCTCATCATAAAAATGTATAGGGATGGGAAAACTGGGGGGGGGGCAGAATCTCTAGGGGAAAGGTTTGATCATCTGAAATTTTAATTAAGTGCCAAATGGCATTTTCAAAGCAAGTTTGATAGGTGTATTACAGCTCAATCCGGGTATCTACTCCTTTAAACTATAAAAACTATACTCCAGGGTTTCCAGGAACTTAGCCCAGAATCTTGAAAAAAAAAAAAAAGAAGCCACGATAAGATATCTGACAGCAGGAAACATTGATTTTCAGAAAGATAAGTATTGGAAACTGGTGAGTTTAACATCGTTGACCTGTCAAGTTTAGAACCCAACATCAATCAATCTGTAGGCATGCGAAAGTCAAGGCTAGCAAATGTCTGAGCATGGGGAAGATGGCAAAAACTGGCCTGCCAAGGTAGCACTCATGGTCCCTGAGTGGCAGCATGTACGGTGTACTTGTATTGAACAAAGGAACTAGGCAGAGTTCCAAGGATTGAAATGGCAACACACGCTGGTAGAACCACGATCAGTTAGTCCACACTTACCCTAGCACTACTTCACCACTCAGAAAGACCCCGAGTAGACATCTTGCACCGCACAAATGCCCACTGCGCACTCCCTGTGTCTCTAGGTTTGGCCATTCTTGCTTTATGTTTTATATATAAATGCCTTGGAGATTTGGAAAGCAGGATTTCTACATAATAAACACCCAGAGTGCCTGAGAGGCTCTTAAGGAACAGGAGTATGGTCAAAATAAAATAAAAGGATGCTTAGTAGTGAAATTATATAAATAAAGGTCAGAGAGCACCGTGTAGACAGAACGAGGAAATTTTTGATGTAGGAGGGACACCCCGCAAAAAAACTCAAAAAGTCAGTTCCAAGCTTATAATCCTAAAACTTGAGCCAGTGTTAAATCCTGCCTTTTCTCGTCATCTCTCAGGAAACAAAGCTGTCCTTTTGTGCCAGTTCCCTCACTTAGACATGGAACTGAGGGGTTTGCTCCTGAAATTACAGGAAAAGTAGCCAGAGGCTGAACATGCTGATTTACACCTGTAATCCCAACACTAGGGAACTGCAGGAGGACTGAAGCCTAGGCTAGCCTGATACACAGTGAGGCCGTGTCTCAAAACAAACAAATAAAGGCATACATATAACAAAAGAAATAAATCAACAAGAGAAATACTAGAAAAAATAAAATCTCAGCTCTTCATGAGTTCAAGCCCAGTCGGGGGAAAAAATTGAGACACCATTTCAAAACAAACAAAAAAGGTTTTGATGATAGACTATTAAACACAACAAAAACCCAACTAGTGTAAAACATTGAGAATGCTATGATGTTAAAAGGCAAAAATCTGCAAGTAGAGAAGAGACGCAATGGCAGGTAACACAACATACCTCTACAGTGTTGGGACACAAAGTACAGTAGGTGCCCAAATGGGCAGAGTTTCAAAATAGAAAAGTCATTTCTGCATTCTAACACTGAGAAATCTGAAAATAAAATTAAGTAAACAATCTCATTCACAATAGAAAAACTATAAAGTATTTATGGGAGAAATTAAAAATATTGATGAGACACTCATGAGTCAGAAAACTCAAAAACTGCTAGGATGGCAAGTCTCTTCAGATTAATTTGTAGGCTTTCCATAAGCCTAAAATATGAACCTTCCTGAAATTTGAAAGCTGATCACAAGCTTCCATGGAAAGGCAAAGGATCATCAGAGCCCAAAAATATTAAAAAAAGAAAAAGAACAGATTAAAAAAAAGATAAAAAATCATTTCCTGATTTCAAAACAAAGCTAAAATGATTAAGACACAGTATAACTGAGGCTACATCAGCCAACAAAGAACTAAGATGATAAAGTGATTCTTAGGAGTGTGGTCAGTGATTTTCCAGGAAAGCACCAAAGCTACCACTGCAGGAAAGGACAGAGCTCTGAACAAGGGATTCAGAACAAATGATCTTCACACACAAAAGAGGACTTTAGACACATCACACACATTTTACTGAGCAGAGCTAAATAATTACTAAAGCCAACAGATATGTCCAAACTCTTTGAGATTGCTACATGACATTGCCATCCATGAATAGCACAATAGATATCCTGAAATACATGTGGACTACAGGTGGGACACGCCTACAGTAAATTTTAAAATAAAAACATAGGAGAAAATCTTTGTGATCTTGACCAGGGGGAAAAAAAAAATCTCAGGTCTAATAGTAACAACACAATTCACAAGGAGGGAAAAAGTTAACCCAAACTGCATTACTCACCATTTGAACATCAAATTTTGTTATAAAACTAAACTAAAGGAGAGTGCAGGAACAAGAGGTCTTGTCCTCAGGTTACACACTGGTAAGACTTGTGACAAAAACACAGAGCTGAGGAGACCAGACACCGCACTTCATCTTACCCAAGGCTGACAGGTGACCAAAAACATAAAACTCTTACGAGCTGAACAGGAAGACAGACGACCTAACTTAAAAACAGGCAAAATATTTGAGTATCCTTTCCACCAAAGACAAGAACACAAAAAGATCTTCACTATCAAGCCACTGGCAAAGTCCAAATTAAAAGCATCACGAATTCCTTCACATCATTTAGGATGGTCACCACAAAAACACGAATAATGACAGGCAAGATGTGGAAGAACTGGAATGCTCAACACACTGCACATGGGCATTTTGAAAAAACACAGGCAGTTTCTTAAAAATTTGCCATACGTCATAAAGGAAATAAAACAAATTTAAATGCTTACAAAAAACTTCTAGACAAATGTTTATAGTCATGTTCCAATAATTAAAAACAACCTAAACATTCTAAATGTCCACTAACAGACACAATGTGGTAAAACCATATAACCAACTACAACTCAACAGTAGGAGGAATTCCTGACAACGTACCACATGGGTAAACTCTGAAATCAGCATGCAAAAGCAAGCAAGCCAGAGGCAAAGGCTGCACCATCAGCGACTCAGTATGAACTGTGCAGAACAGGCAGGATGAGGGTTCCCAAAGCTGGGAATAACTGTAAACATAAACAAGGGAGCTTCTTGGATAGAAAAAGCCTAAGGAAGATATGCTGATGATCGCACAACTCACTTGTGCTAGAAACTATTAACAACTCATTGTGAATGCACAAGCCATGGAAAACCCACAATTATAGTGCATTTTTGACAAATTGCTATGAAAAGCTAAACATTTAAAACTATGGCCTAAAATAAACTCCTCCCAACAAAATGTACTTATTCAGCCCTCTAAGATGGTGAAAGCCAAAGGAGACAAAACAAATACTAACTGGGATGCTGAGAAACTGAAATGTTCACACTGCTTATGGGGATGTGAACTGCTAAAGGTACTTTTCAAAGTCTGGCAGTTCACCAGAAGTGAAGAGAGCTGCATGAGATCAAACAATTCCACCCAGACATATTCCTAAGAAAAGGGAACAGGCTAACACATGAAAATGTGTACAAGCTCACCCAGTTTTGTTGAAATAGACAAAAAAGGAGAAAATCATATCCATAAACTGAATGACAAAACAAAATGTGGCATTCAGCTAAGTGGAGTATCTAACCACAAAAATAGTAAATGTGCTATGGTATAATATAAGAGCATTAGTGAAATAGAGGCCCACACCCTAGAGCAAAGCACAAGGTATAAGGCTGGTCAAGCAATGGTGCAGGGAGTACTGACTTCTACCCAGATTCCAAAGTCACCATGAGAAGACTTGTACTTGTGTCAAACTGGCTTGGGGAATCCACCATGGGATTCATGTTCAAAAACTCACCAACAAATGCTTCTGGCAAGCAAGAGACCAGATCACTCTGTCCATAGAGGGACGCAGGCACCTTATTAACCTCCAGATATGAGTGTAGATTGGCTCATTTTGTTTTCCTACATGGGGCTTTCATAAAAAGATTTAAGTGTTCCCAAGTTAAATGACATCAGTTACCACAGTGTATGTTTTCAGTTGTGTAT